TCTCAAAGATGCCTATTTAACGGTAGCTATGCACAACGATGACAAAGTTTTTAAAATTCGATTTTAACGGCGTTTTATATAAATTTTTATGTTTACTATTCGGACTCGCACTTACCCCACGGATCTTCACTAAACTGCTAAAACCTTTCGCAGCATTAGCTCGAAAGTTAGGCATTCGTCTCGTCATATATTTGGATGATATAATCATCTTCAATAAAAGGAAAGAAGGATTAATTCGGGTTCATAATACCGTTATTTTTATTTTACACCATCTCAGTTTTGTGATTAATTTTAAGAAATCCGTTCTAGAACCAACGAAAGTTATCAATTATTTAGGCTTTGATATAGATTCTAGCCAGATGAGTTTGTTTCTACCGCAAAACAAAATTGATAACGTGATTAAATCATGTGAACAGCTGATAAAATCAGAACGTATTACGATCAGAGAATTAGCGAAAATTATCGGGTTACTATCCAGTACGACACAAGACATCGCGCCTGCTCCAATTAATTATAGACAGTTACAATTTTATTCATCAAAAATGCTTTTAAAAAATAGAAACTATGAAGCCGAAATAACTCTGACTTCGGAATGCAAGATGGAGTTAACTTGGTGAGTAGAAAATATTAGATCACAGAACGGACGCACGTTAATATCGCCGTCGCCAGATTTATATTTTGATTTAAAAATTTATTCTGACGCTCAATCTGAAAAATGGGGTGCATTTCACCCTGATGAAGCATACATAGGAGGAAGATGGTCTAATGAAGAAGAAAATCTACATATCAATCCTAAAGAACTTTTAGCAGCATTATTCGCGGTTAAGCTATTCGCTAAAGGACTTGTTGATAAACATATTCATATTTTCAGTGACAATACCAGCGCGGCTTCATACATTAATAATCTAGGAGGCACTCGATCTCAAGCCCTTATTGAAGCAGCAAAAAAATTTTGGAACTATTGTTTCGAACATAAACTACATGTTACAGCAGAATTTCTATCAGACCGTCTGAATACAGAAGCAGATTGGGCGTCACGTCATTTGCAGGATGCTAGCGACTGGCGTCTGGATAGAAACATTTTTCTCAGTTTACACAAACTTTTCGACAATTTGATGTTGACCTGTTCGCAAGCAGGTTTAATTTGCAAACCGTACAATATTTTGGCTGGAAGTCCGATCCTGAAACAATCGTGGCAGATTCCGTACACTTTGACTGGAATCGTTTCGAAAATGCTTATGCATTTCCACCGTTTTGTTTGACTTCACGTCTTTTAGCGAAATTACGCAGAGAAAAATCGACAGTAGTACTCATTGCTCCAGTCTGGCTCAACCAGACATTTTTTCCTCAATCGCTTGCACAACTGATCGAAGCACCAGTACTCCTGCCAATTTTTTCACACCTAATTGCGAACCCGGCGGGACAACAAAACCCAATGATAAAGTAAAACAGGTTACAGATGGCAGCCTGAAAAGTATCAGGGAATACTAATCTGATAGAAGCATTTCGACAAAAGCAAAAGAAACCATTTGCAATGCTCAAAGGCCAGGAACTAGATCTGCATACAAATGTTGTTGGGTTAAATGGGCTGACTAAATTCTGTCAAGAAACAGCGATTCAGTTTCAGCGTCTCTGGCCAATATTTTAAACTTTTTAGCAGACTTATTTGAAAACAATTTACAATATAGAACAATAAATCTTTATCGTTCAGCATTGTCTCTGAATATGACAAAAATAGAGGATGTTCCTGTAGGACAGCATCCGATGATAAAGAGTTTTATGCGCGGTGTATTCAATATCCGTCCACCGCAACCGCGATATTCCTCTACTTGGGATGTATCAGTAGTCCTGAATTATATAGAATCTATGCAAGAAGACGAAGCAATTTCAATCCGTCATTTGAGTTATAAATTAGCAACACTGATGATTTTGATGACAGCAGCGAGATCTTCAGGGTTGCAGAAACTAAAAATTTCGCGAATGATTGAAGACGAGGATAAAACGGAGTTTATCATTGATGAACTTACCAAAACTCAAAGAGAACATCATAAACCAGTCAGGATGATTTTTTATAAAAATCAAATATCACTCAAACTGGACGTAGTTCACTGCAGTGTTGACTGCAGAATTATTCGATTAACTTAAACGATTCCATTCAAATCAGTAAATCGGATCCAAATAAACAACGGCAAATAAAACGGGTTCTAATTAGCGGAAATGAAAGTCAAAATTTAAGGGAAGAAAGATTCTTTCTCACACCAGCATTGAGTGATGACTATGGCAAAGAAGCTTATATTTTTCTTTCACAGTGGAAGAAAGGCAACAAACTTTCTGATGCTGAAATAGTAGAGCAGGCAGCGAATGGAATAATTATCGAAGGACAGCAACTCGGTCAACATTGCGAATCACAATATATAGCTCGCAAACTAATAGACGTGAAAAACAAAAGGAGAGAAGAAATTTACAAGTGTTGCATTCACCTATACACAATGGAATGCTTTCTATATAAACTAATAAATAAAGCACTGAGAGAAACCGACACGAGCAAAATAAACACTTTGGGACCATTTTGTTACATTCTATTCAGAAGCTGGCTAAACACCGATACGAAACACGCATCGGAACTCTATCGTGGTGCGAACATCGATCAAAACACACTAAAATCGTATGCGGAAGTCACCGGCCAGACCAGATGCTGGAACGGCTTTACCTCAACTAGCAAAAACCGTCAAAAAGCAGAAACCTTCGGCAACACCTTATTCATTATCGACGCGACAGCAAACGGAGGCTTAGACATATCCCAACTATCCTCTTTCGACGAAGAAGAAGTCCTACTTCCTCCAGGAACAGCATTTACCATCACAGACGTCCAGGAAACCACAACAAAAACCTGTGTTTATTTGACACTAATCGATAACACCCATACAGCGACCACGCCAAATTTCCCTTCCCAGACCCCAACCACCCTGTGGTCACATCAGCATTCCTGTGCCCAAACTGAAAAGTCATCTAGTGACATGGAACATCTAAGAGATAGATGTGTCTCGTCATCGTCAGATGAACATTGTTGTAACGAAAGTGAAATGTCATCTGGTGTCATGGAGCAGCTGGAAGATAGATGAATAGTCTGCTGGTTGCCATTCTTCAGTAGCTGCATCATGATTGAGTTAGTTGTTGGTGACCTCGTCATCGTCAGATGAGCATTGCTGTGACGAGGCTGAACTCTCATCTAGCGACACGGAACATCTATGAGATAGATGAATAGTGTGCTGATTTGCACTCTTCACTAGCTGCATCGTGAATGAGTTAGTTGTCGGTGACCTCGTCATCGTCAGATGAGAACTGCTGTGACGAAACGTAAATGTCATCTAGTGATATGGAACATCTAAGAGATAGATGAATAGTCTGGTCGTTGGTATTCTTCACTAGCTGTATCCTGATTGAGTTGCTTGTTGGTGACCTCGTCATCGTCAGATGAGCATTCCTGTGTATGCACACACCTCAGTCAATTCAGTTTTTGATGCTGATCCCAAATAGGACATTGGTTTTGCAGAAAAATGAAAGTTTGACGGTGAAAACTGGAAAATACAAGTGAATTTCCTCGGTTTTGGCTACCTGTTTGAAAAAAATTAATTTTCTCAACAACAGAACAATGTTTTCCAAAACCGATATATAGCTTTTTAGAGGAGTATAACGCGGAATTAGTGTCGAACTGGCGATGGAAGATGACTTGTCTGAGCGCATGTATGATGATTATGTGCTTCTGATGAATACACTTGATACCCATCTGAACTTTCTTTTGCATTCAGTTAAAACTGACACAATGGGTACTTTTTGTATCCTGAACATTTATATGTAATCAAAATTTAAATATGTAGCTTACAGTTAGAATGAAGTTGAAAACGATATCTATTGTATAACATAAGCGTAATGACGTCATAATACTATGCTTTATGTACATGTTTTCGTTCTAGACTATTCATTATTTCGAGATCTCTGCTGCATAAATAAATAAATTTAATTTTCCGAGATCTTTTCTGTCTTTATTTCCTTCCGAGATCCGTTCTGCTGATTTTTCAAGATCTCTTATTTTTACGTTCTTAATTATGGCTCATCAATTTCAGTCGATGTTGGAAATATATTTATTGTTAAGTCACGAATATGCATTCGTGTATTCAGTTTATTGTACAGGAAGAGATGAGATTGCCGTTTCCGTATCACTCTTGTAGATCCCAACCATAAAACAAGTTTCTTACTTTACTTTTAATGAACTTTTCCCTCTTACTTGGTAAAAAGTAAATACTTTTTACTTTAGTAAAGTAGAGTAGACAATTTTCCTTTACCTTGTAAATAAAAGTAAAGTGCCACCCCTAAATAATGGCTTCAGATACTAAGAATGTTTCACAATCCGAAAACCCTGAATTATGGACCTTTATATGGCTAGATAAAAATGTTTATAATGAAAGTAATTGTCTAATACAAACTATTACAAAATAAAACCAATTTTCTCAAATTATTTAACAATCAATACGAATGTGAAAAATATATAAATTTACCTTAATTGTATCTGGCAGTATTGAAATAGAATTTGTACCTCTCATACACGATTTAAACAAATAATTCATATTTATGTTGCTTGTATTGATAAACAAAAACATAAAACATGGGCAAAACACTATGGAAAGGTGCATATTGACGTCTTATTGATGCGTCTATATTTAAAGTATAATCTGTATGTTTAGATTAGAGCTGTGATTGTTACAGCTCACGAACTTATAACTGAAATATCAAATGATGAACCTGATCGTAGAAACATTATTGATCAATCAACAATATCCATTAGTATATTTAATTTTAAAAATGAAGAAACTCATATGAATTTAAAATGTGAAAATGTTCGTTTTACTTGGTTTTAATTATTTATTGATACTTTAATTCGAATGCCAATTAATTTACAAAGAGACAAATATACACTTGTACAATTTTGTAAAATATTTATAATGATAACGGGGCTGAACAATGCAATACTTGATGAATTTCAACAAACATACAATCCGTCTTATGCACTACAATGGTATACTCGTGATTGTTGTATGTGTCGTTTATTGAATAAAGCGTTAAGAGTAAATGATAGTCATACGTTATGTCGTTTTTAATTTTTTATTTCAGATCTTTATCAGCAATTGAAACGTATTCATCTTGAATACTATGATAATAAAATTGTACGAGTTTATCTTGGTCAGTCAATTTCTAAAATTGAATTAGATCATATAAAAACATCGATTGGTGATCTGATATCAATAAATAGTTTTTTTTAACAACAACTAATCGTGAACTTAGTTTCATTCATGGTCGTATTGATGTTAGTGTTGACAATGATTTAGTTAATATATTATTGGAAATAAATATTGATAAGCATTTGAAATCATTGTCAAAACCATTTGCAGATATTTCAATGGGAAGTCATTTTCATGATGAACAAGAAGTTTTATTTTATATTGGAACAATATTTAAAATTAAAATGATTGAACAAAAAAATGATATTTGGTTAATTGAATTAGACGTATGTACAGACGATGATAATAATGAACTATTTTGTCAAATTAAAAACGAAATAATAAATGATCAAGGTGATACTGGCAAGTTATTATTAAAAATAGGCGAATATGATGAAGCAAAGGTATATTATCAACAATTATTAAATCATCAACAACAAGACTATCGTAAGTTTTATCATGTACAAGGAGAATTATCATCTTTGTTTACATTATCACTGTTTAGGTCATGAATGTTATACAGGCCTTGGATTAATTGGTTTTCCTACTGACGATTATATGACTGCTTTAGACAGTTATTTGAAAGCATTGAATATCAAAAATGACAATGGAACAAACTACATGAATATTGGAAATGTTTACTGTAAAATAGATGAATTCGATAAAACACTTGACTATTATCAAAATTGAAATATTTAGTAGGAAAAATGATGTTTTAAATATTACAAAATGTTGGGATTATATTGGTGATGTTTATCATCAAATGAAAGAATACGATTTTGCACTATATATATATAGAAAAGCATTAAAATATAGAGAATAATATTTGCCCCTAAATATTAACGATTGTCATCCAGATTTGGCACAATCATTTACAAATATTGCTAATGTTTACAAAATGATAAAGGATTATGATCAAACTCTATTAAATTATAAATGGGCATTAGAAATTCAATTAAAATATTTATCGTTAACTCATCCATCAATACCAATATCTTACAGAAATATAGGTCAAATTTATGAACATCAAAATAGATACGATCGAGCTTTAATAAATTACACAAAAGCAAATGAAATTTATTCATGTCATTTATCAACAGCGTATCCTAATCGTATTCAACTTAATAGTGATATAACAAGAATTCAAGATTTAAATAGCTGATTGTAAATGAAAGTTAAGTGCAACGTTGCTCATAGATGTCAAATTTCATACATACCAACGAACATCAGGATAGGGAGCGTAGGAGAGTTATTCATGTCAATATTTCGACAGATTCCGAACACAACCAAATGAGAACTTCCACACTGGCAATTCATAATCTGGATTTCACAAACATGGAACGAAATGTCGGGTATTAATCGATAAATATTAAAGGATCGATTAAAAAGAACAGATGAGTAAAACGAATCTTATGGAGAGCTTTGATAGTTTTTACTTTTATAATTCGATTTTCTAAATAATATTTGTCTAAACTCGACCAATCAGTGATGAGTTTCTGAGAGGCGATGATGTGATATTTTGGAATTTGAAGTTTTTAACATAATCTTTTTTAGTGGGCACTCGAAAACGCTATTTTGAAAGGTTCATGATAATAAACTGATTCCTCAAGGAGTTAGACGCCTCTCAATGATGAAGAATTATAGCAAAAATCGGATCTCGCACGATTTTGTGTTCTAAAGATAACGTATGTAGTGAGTGTCGTCAACAGCAGTATATATATCAACCATGTCGTACAATGAAAAGTGACTTAGACTAATTGATAGTTCTAATCGTAGAATACTAGAAAATGTGTAAATCTTATTGCTTTGATCTAGATGTGGATGTACTGAATCTATTTGATCTTGTAATGTATTAACAATCATAATAACACATGTTCATTATTTATATTTAATTTTCAAAATAATTGTTAGAATTATTGATTTTAAGTGAACATTTTTTAGATCTAGTAACACTGGCACTCTCTCTTTATTATACTAAAAAAATTTTCCACTTTTCAGTTAAAATATATCTCTTTTTTATTTGTCAGTAAATAAAAAATGATATATATTTTTTTTGTCTTATTAAGCGAGATATTTTTATATTTGAAACTATTTTTTGAAAAAAGCTATTCAAAATTAAAAAAAGATATTTAAGATGAAAAATGACTATTCATTTTTGATCGAAAATGTTTGGATATCGAAGTAGCTGGAAGATATTAAAGATTTAGATACAGATGAATACGTCTCTCTCATTGAGAACAGCTTGTGCTGTACAGACTTCAGTTCTTTTACTTCTCTAAGAAACCATTTGTATTATTTCGTCGCTTCTTTAAGATATAAACGTTAGACAGTCTTTTTTTAACAAGAAACTTAAACTAAAAGAAATAGGTTATGCACAAGGCATTAATAGAAAAAAACTTGAGAAAAGTATCCCCATTCATATTGTTCATGAAAGAGTTCATAGCAGAAACACAGTAATAGAAAGAGAATCAATTACAAAGAACACGATGAAAATGACGTAGATACACACATACACAAGAGATAAAGTTATCTGTAAAAGAATTGTACAAAATATAAAAAGAACGTTTGATGAATGAAAATATAGTTTGACTATCTCAGAGTTTAAAATATCGGACTCTTCACAACATGATGATTAATAAGAAATATTCTTATTAAGAAAGAAAGTTTTTGTTGGAAAATAAGCACCGGGCGATAAATAACTGACTAATGTTCCATTTTTAACAACTTATAATTGTCGACTTCGTCTACTATTCGGGTGTAGTTTATTTAACAATTGTAATAGTTTATCGGTTATTCTAATACTTAAATAAAATATATTCAATTCAATAATCTTTTTTGTTGTTCGACCTTTAATATGCTTTGTGAAACTGACTAATGTAGCTGCTACAATAGCAAAGGGGAATATTAATGAAAATATGCACTCGTTAATAATTAGTGATTTTGATAATTGTGTAGATAATAGTGTTAATGGTAAACCAAATCCAATAAAATATGGCCAATATTGTTCAATACGTTTAACACGATCACGTATTGGATAACCTTTATATATCCAACTATATTCAAATGCATAGAATGAATAGAGTAAACATAATGAACCATAACCAAATACTGTATTTAAATAGGGTATAGGTATGAGAAAGATAAATGTTGATTGAAATAAAAATACAATTTGCATAATTAAACTAAATAATAAATCCGTCATTGAATGTGCGTAGTTTTTTGAGACTTGAGGACGACTTGATGATGGTAATCCTGTAGTTATCTCAAATACTCGATCAGCTATATCACGAAAATAAAAACTATTAACTATTTTTGATATTAAGAATGCTGGTATTAACCAAAATAAATTAAATGTATATTTTAACAAATATTGAATGAATAATAAAGACTGATATTGTTCATTTTTATTCCATGTTGTACCAGCCAATAGATGAAATAATTTTAGAATAATAGGTACAATCAAATAATTGAAACATAACATTCCACATAATAGAATACCACCATTGAAAAGAACAAGTGAAGTTAATCGAGTACGAACATTTCGAGAATTATTAGTAGTATCATTATTGATCGGTGATGTTTTAGATATTGGTTGATGCTGTGGTACGGATACTTTTCTTGTAGATACTTTTTGACTGTGTTCATCAATTGCTGCTACTTGTAAACAATTCACAACTGAATCGTACAAACCATAACGAAATAAATCAGCGTAAACGGAAAATGAAGACATCTAAAAACAAAACATAAATTTACATGCTAGCACTTGTGGCAGACTAACATATAGATAAATAGCTCTTAAAATATGTTAATCGCGTGTACCGATGGAAAAAGGAAATTATTTTGCTCCTTTGTCACCTAAGATAGAAAATCTTTTTTTATCAATCTCTCTTTTACCACCCGCCATCGCAAAAATCTTTTACCAAAAGTATTACTTTTTTTCCAAATATGTAAGAAATCTCGCTCTAATACTGTCGATTCAGTTTTCGTTTACTATAACGCTGACATTTAGAGATTGGGTAACATCTCTCATTATAGAGCACAAATCATAGTCATTCAAATGTTATTCATCGATAACTCACCATTATTCTACTAGACAATATTTGTTTAAACCAGATTTGCTCCTAGTACGAAGAAGAAAAGAATAATATATAAGCGATTATTTTGTCAATTTTGGCCACTTTACTGTAATCGAATATACGAATAATTTAATCAATTTGTTAAAAATTTACCTTTAATTCAAATAAAGTTTGTTTTCGAAGTTAAAAACGCTAACAAACACGTAAAATACGTAGAAATACACACAATCTCCTATTAAAGATTGTGAACAAGAAAATCAAATATATGGCAGATCAAAAAAATAATTGTGTTGTGTCACAAGTTATCAAACAGACGCTTAAGAGAAGAAAACAACAATAAAACATTTAATCAACAGAAGAATCCAAGACAAAGTCATTATGAGCAATATCCCAATATTGTTCGACGCCATGTCGACGAAAATGTTCACGTGCAAAATTTTCTGTTGGACAATTTTTAAATTTCATTTCTCCAAATGCACGATCTTTCACTGTACCCTGAAAACAATAAATAAATGGTATAAATCGTAGTGAACCTTGTGTTCAGACCATAGAACATTTACCTCCCACAAAAGTACACATTTATTCATATCTTTTGTTTGGTCATCGTTGTCATCTAAAAATAGACAAAAAAGCAAACAAAAAACCATCATCTTTGTCATATATATCAACAATCACTCACCATCATCTTGATTTGTCACCTGTCCTTTTTGTGATGTGTTCCAATTGATACGATGTAACATCAGTCGACGAAATTTTTTCTGTTGCTTTGATCCTAAAGAAAAAGAATGATGAATAAAATTGTTTTTAGAGGATAGATCAAATGAACACACTCACCTCCTTCAACTGCCACAACGTTAATATCTTTACAAAGTACAACACAACCGGTCATGTGCAATTGTTTACAATTTGTTTCAACTTTAAATCTTTTTGCCTGGTCATTCAAATTTTTGACACGGTATATAGCTACATGAACACCACCACTCGTATCTTCCTCCAAACGCTTTGATTTCTTTTCCCGAAGTTGTTCGGCAGTTAATTTTCGAGCTGCATTCGTTTCTTCATGTGTTCTAAAATGAATATAGTATTAAAAAAAAAGGACTATGCATTAGTAACCGTATCTTTTTCCCATTAATCGAGGGTAAAATAAACTCCTGACTTACTTTAATCGTTTTGCCATTTGATTTCGTACATATTGTTCAATTTTTGTTGGATCTTGGACAGCATCCGAACACAACACTCTCATCAAATTTGATATTTTAACTAAAGTAGAAATTCAAAAATTTAATAAGATAATCAATTTATGGTAAGAATAAACAAACCTTTTGGTTCTGGGGGTAGAATCAAACCCAGACGAATTTTTTCTTGTTGTTCTTTAAGTACTTCACTTCGATTTTGTCTTCTTAATTTTTTTTGTTCACGTTTTGTCAATAACACAGGTAAGAGTATTGGTTTGAGTGGCTCGGCTAAACCAAAATACGAAAATAAAAATAAAAAATTTGTCTCAAAATAAATTTAAAAAAACATATTTACATGGAGGTTTTAACTGAGTTGGATGTTCAACTAATTTCGTTATACCTTGGAGCATGGTTTCTACACTAAAATCGCTTGAGACCAATGCGTAACTATATCGAAAAAAATAAAGAATAAAACTAATTATTCAATAAGTTATTCCTTCTGTTCTTATAGAATAATTGAAACTGTGTAGCATTTTCTACTCAACTGTCACCTTTATACTAAATAACGTTTTTTGAGTTTATGAGCAAGATTAAAAATAAAAATAATCTTTTTATTATTATTTTATCTTATTTAATCTTTTTTAATAGTTTTAATCATTTTAATTTTTATTATTTTTATTAAAACTTTTATTAAAATTTTTAACATGATAGCCGCAATGGTTCTTAAATTTTCACCTTTATACTACTTGTAGACCTGCAATATTCAAATGTATTTCAATTTCGATGCCTTATACACCAAAGCTGAACTTGAAAACACTTTTATTAAAAGACAAATTTTACTGCGGCATGAATTTTCGGTCATATATCTTTCCGTATCTGAGTTACACACACACATGAGTCAAGCGTATTTTTTTTGTACAATTGGCTTGGAGTACGTTACAAAATAGTCAAAAAAACGTTGCCCTTTTCGTTCTACTCGTTGTGATGTGTACAGTAAATCTAGCTGTAATTAATAGAGGTATTCTAGGAAAACCCTAATGATTTAAATAGTCTCAATCAATGGAGAATCAAAGCACAGAACTTGGAACGATAGAATTATTATATTTTTCGAGTTTATGCTCGGTGCCGAAAATGGAGCTCTGTACTTTGAAAGTACATAAGATAAGCTAAACACCTTAAAGAACGTAGAGTAAAACAAGATCACAAAGTTTTTCTAGCAGTTTTAGGCACATAAGGTTAGTAAAAGCGGCTTTTTACGACGTTCTTCGAGATCTTTTCGCGGTTTTTTTCGACATACTCCGATTGCTCACGGTCTCACTAGATTACCCATGTCGAGATCTATCTAATGGTGTGTAATACATGCACTTTAGACACATATTTTATCATAAACTCGCATAGAAATTTTCTATGCCAAAAGACGTAAGTTGATGCTTGGATATCTCAGCCAATATGAGTCTGGTAGTTGCGAAATTTTTACTACAGACTTAGTAAAGGATGGGGAACAAAACGTACGACTTGGATTTTGTTTACGAATACTTTCATTTTTCTCACCAATTGTACCAAAAACTTACGATTCGCTCACATACACATTCCTATCTTGTATCTGTTGTCCCTTATTATCTTCATCGTATGTTTACTTTTGTTTTTTATCTTTTTACTTCTTTGTTCGTTCTTTTCTCTTTCTTTCTCATCAGACTGAGTTTTAACTGAACACTGTTCCAACTCACAATTAGCGTGGTACAATGCTCTGCGATTCTGACTTTTTGTGAGCAGAACATTTGTTACTGTTTCTGTTTCTTTGCAATAAAGTTTAAACTGTATTTCTTCAAAACTTACCTTGATTGTTGAAGTATAACATAATCCCACCATTCAATATCAGGTACGTCTGTTTCAGACTGTAATGAGCAAAAGAAAAATGTGGAACTAAAATTGATAAGCGATTATCTTTTAATTTACTTACAAAAAACTTTTTCGGTTGTATAACGGTAATTTTGTTTTCCATTGCGATTCCCGTCTTTTTTGCTATTTGTGAGATTTCTTGCTGTAATTTTTCTAGCTTTGATTTTGCACGCATTCGATTCGCAATTTCTTCGTATTTTCCACGCGCATTGAATGATAGTTGACGACGGTTACGAAGTGTCGGACGCATACTAAAAGGGAAAAATCGATGTTACTCGTGATAAGATAGTTAATATGCAAAGAGTAAAAACGACGGCAAATAGCCTACCCTAATCGTGCATCGAAATGTATTCCACCGTCATCAATACCCATATCATGGACTGTTGTTTGTGCAGCTTTACTAAATTCTTGTTTGAATACTTCACGTTTTTGTGCTCGAATATTCGCCTAAACAAGGAATGAAATAAATTATTTTTACAAAATATTTTTTTTTACACAACGTACCTTCAGTGTGGGCATACGACTTTGCATTTGTAAAATCTCTCCAGTTCTCGTATCGATTGTACGACCGTCTTTGTCAATTTTAACATGAATTGGTCTTTCACGTTCATCTTGACTGGCTTGAAATAACTGACCTAAATTATAATCATGTGTACTTTTTAGAAACGCATAGACTCTCTACTTTCAGGCGAGAAGAAATCCAGCACTTACCCATTTGATTCGCTATACGTGCATTGAGCTCAGCTAATCGCTGAGCATTGTTAGAACGTTGTTGTACTGCTACAGGTGTCTAAATTAAAAGCAGACAAACAGAAATAATAATTTAACATTTAAGTAGAAAGAAAAGTTTACTGTGAAATTAAGTTCTAATTGACGGACTTGAATCTGCTTTTGCGCAGCAGCCATCAAATCTCGAACCTAAAAGAAAAAAACAAAAATAATACAATCTTAGTTAAGTCAAATGAGCGAACTTTTATTTACCGTAGCAGGATCGACTGCCTCCTGCTTAGGTAGAATCATGTTTATGCTTTTGAGAAAAGTAATTTGTAAAATCTTATTCTAAAAAAAATTTAATAGTTTTATGATCATTAGGTAAGATACAAAACAACGACCATAGATAATGTTGAATACAAAATAAAACTACAAGGTTAGTTGACAGACTGTTTTCATAAGAATCCGACAGAAACTACTCTATGGTTCATGTCAGAAAAGGTTGAGCGATCTATTAGAAGCTTCTTGTGAAATCTGTAAGTGCATGCACATCTTTCACAAATCCGTTACAATCAGCGTAGCAACATCAAGCAAATTCCGTCTATTATTTCAATGAATCACGGTCTGTAGCGTTTTAAATGATGAGTGTACACAGTAGAAAGAACGTGTACGCTTTGCAAGTTGAATACGTATTCTGTTTCCATCATAGAGGAGCCTAAAAAATAATTCTTTTTCTGTTAGTACATCAGAAATGATGGAACGACAAAAATAGCTTTCAGGAGATTTTAAAAGTTTTCGCCAAAGGGACTTTTACGTAATGCTTTCATGTGTACATGCACAAAAATTTGACTCCTGATTGAAAACAAAACTATAACTTTCTATCAATGACAACTCTCTTTGCCTGATCAACAAGCAAGCACATCACTCTGCTATTGAGGAAAAAAAGACAGGCAATAAACTAACCAATGAAATGCTACATTAAAGTTACCCATCAGTGCACCATTCCAAAACCTATTTGTATTTTGATTTTGGTAATTAATTTTGAGTGAAAAATCAATCGACTGCTAGAAACTTTTTAGTTTGACCACGATCAGTTCGCTTTTTTAAGTCATGAATGTTATTTCTCAACTTTTTCAACCAACGTTTTTTCGAGAAAAATACCGGGTTCGATTTTGAACGAGAAAAATTCGACTTGTACGTCTACTAAACAGTTTAATTTTATTTCGTTAATATAATATGGAATCTAGATTAAGAAATTACAAAACTGATAATAAGAAATCCGTTGTCTATTTATGAAAGTGCATCAAAACTGAACTGAGATAGTATCGAAACCGTAAAATAAATATGTTGCTTTTTCTAGTTATATCCCTGATAACAGTTCTACCGACATATTATTATTAAAAACTCTATCTGGACGCAATATTCAACTGTGGAGCGGTGCACTGGAAACATGAGCGCATCAAGTGACATTAAGTTAAAATGTCAATAATTAATAATGATCCATAAATTAAAACTATTGGATCTACTTTCTCATTATGAATTTTGATTTACTGATAAAGTCAGGCGATACCCTAGTCGATGTTCTTGTTAAGCAAGAATGCAAGATCTTATGACATTTCTTGCGCGCATTCTTGCCCCAAGAAAGTATTTTTCTTGCGCAAGAAAGCAAGAATACTTTTCTTGTCACTACTTGCTGTAACCAGCTTCACTGGAAGAAACAGGATCTTGCAGTAAAAAAAATCAATCCTGCGTTAAAGGATGAAAGTGTTAGCATGTGTTTCTTGCAGTGAATAAAATCGCTACAAGAAGCTCTTTCGTTCTGTAGGCAGTGCAAATGAAAGCGAGCTTTCTATACTTCATAGTATCATCATCAGACTAGTATGACTGTCGAATTTAGAAGAGAAATGGTTAGAGTTTTCTGTCTTGTCTTTTCTTCTGTTAGTTTATGTTTATTTGGTTGTTCATTTTTACGACTTTGCGAAAATAAATCGACTTCTAAATGTTGCTAAATTCTCACAACAGAGTTTAACATTCTCACGTTGTAACAGAGTGTAGAAATTCGAAATAACTCAAAAAGACATCTGCCAAAATTCTTCCTGTTATTCTTTTCTATTTCATTTTAAGAATGCTGACTGGCGTTTTGAAATTTTTGCTCACATGCTTTTAGCTCTTCAACCAGTTTGTTCATAACATTTCAACAAACACGCGGTCGTTCCTTTTTAGTTTAGGTTCGTCTATTTGAGTCTTCAAAAGAGCTTGATAACTTCGATAACGAATTACATTTTTGATACTCATTTTAAATACACGATGATGAACTTCGACTGAGACAGTTTTATTTCGTTTGTGGGTAATTGGATCAAAAGAGCAAGAATTGCGTTTCTTGTCCATTCTTACTGGAAGTTGATTCCCTGCAAGAAAGCAAGAACAGTTACCATAAATCAACGAGACTTCTTGCACCAAGAAAGCAAGATCTTGGGCAAGAAAGCCCTCGCAAGGAAGTTGACTAGGGATACGAATGGTATTGAAAATATTATTTTTAAACTTAAGTAAAATACCGCACAATGTCGTTGAGTTAGACATTGAAGATGCTCCGAGTGAACTTATACGACTATGTGAGATCCAACTCCCACTCTCTCGTTTATTTGAAGAAAGTGAACGGCTGTATATAGTATACAAGTTGAGCAAGAGTTGCGTAAGAACAGAAAGAGTTAGGAAAATCACAAGATGAAGCAAGAGTTGCGTAGGGATGGTACAAGAGCAGAATCTTATGAGCTGCCGGGACGGCAGGTCCGATCTCTATCAGCGTCATGATTTATGAGTGACATATCGCATCAATCTCATATTGGAAAAAAATTACGATCAACGTTATCGTATGGCGCGAGAGAAGAAAAATGATATCATTTACGAAAACTTCAAGAAAATGTAAATTTCAGGTAATTACTCGAAGACATCATTGAAAATAGCATTTTTAATTGTATTCAACAAGCATATGCTAATGAGTTTAGTTTAACAGTTCTTCCATAGTTAACTGCCTTACCGTCTTGCAAATGTAATCCATATCATCCACAACACCGCCATCTAATAGAGAAAAAAGAAAGTGAAATGTAGCGCACAGACTGAACTAGCTTTGATTCGAAATTTGTACCAAAATTGTGAGAGGAAACCAGAACCATCGCATTCTATTCCTGCGTCTACTGCAATGAAACGTAACCAAATCCTACGTAGAATCATGTTTGTTTGTTTGTACGATAAATAGACTGCTGAGCGAAAAAGTAATTTGAATATTGTAGCTGAAAAGATGGTGATTGATACGAAACAAAATAGTAGACGATGCGGTAGTGTTAGTAAATAAAAGTTTCTAAAATCCTTTGAAGTCTTCTTCATATAAATTATGTCGTGAAACACGTATAGGTTCTTCGGCGTGATTCAAAGAAGATGGATCCAATGGATCTTTTCTTGGTGGTCTTAAACAGATGGAAATAATAAGCAGATTAGATTAAATGACACACTTTTGTATAAACTTTTCTCTGGCAGTTCTTGCAGTTGTCAATATTCGATGCTTTTTTTTGCAAAGATAAAACATAAAAATCGGCTGAATAGCGTGTGGATTAAACGCTTCAGCGATTTCAAGGCTATCATTTTGATAAAAAGTCCTCGCTAAAACACACCATATCGGCCTGCAAGTTCGTCAAACAAGTTAACTAGTATATTTTAGTGCTTGTGTTCAGCACAGTAGCTGTGAAGTACAGTAACAAAAAAGAATGTGTAACTGCAAATAATATGAAGAAGCAGAAAATTGTGTACTAAAAGCAGAATTTTTAGACAAAGTGTATGCCAGAGAAAGACGTTTTTTGTACAAACGTACCGGAGGTTTTAAAAGTCAAGGAAAAAAGTAACTATAACTTCGTCATTCTTCGGACAAGCTCAGCTAAGGACAGTGATCGTCCATGGAGACCATCAGCGACAAATTTCTGCAAGTTGCTGATCATCTTGATTCTCAACCAGAAAACAGTCTAGCCTTCATAACATTTCAACAATGAACTAAATATTTTTCTGAAGTAGACGTCGCACATAACACGTCATACTCTTAATTACAAACCCTACAGCATGCATTCCACTCAACAACTTTGCGATGAAGATAAAGACGTGATAAAAATAGAAATAGCTGAAAATTTGATGACGACGGACCAACATTACAGATTCAAATTTTGCCATTAATACAACAATTTTTATTCTGAGCACTAAAGAGTATGGTATTTTATTTTTTGCTATATCTAAAATTTTGAATATTTTTCTGTCGGTAAAAGAATCTTGTCAGAGCATCCCCGTTTGTGACTAAAATGTGAAACTCTTCCCGGCTGTTAATTTTTGAGTTCGTTTTTGTAATCATTAATTAAAAAATGTTGAATGAACTTCGTAAAAACAAACACGATTAACTGATAACTGACAGTGTTTTATATGGATCGTGATTATTGAAATAAACGTCGGTTCGTCTGGTGGACCAGTGGTAACCGACGGTTTTCAATAAAAAGCGACGACAAAGCGATGATCCCTGAGCAAACAGATAATAATTATAGATCCCACAGTAGTTTTAAGATCATAACTGCAAACCTTATACGGTTTCAAGACTATAACGAGGGACACTAGGTATTTTTAAGATCCTAATAGGAGGCTACAAAATCGTAAATAAGGCTGCCTTGAATGATTTGAAGATAATTACTGTATACCGAGAACGATCTGAGGATTACACACAAGGACCCTAAGGTTATAACTGGGCTCCACTAGGCAAACTTACAATATTAACCACTATCATTATTTATTCAATTAAGATAGTAACTACAGGGGAATGGGTAAAAAACAGCACAAACGCTAGGACTTTAATTATATACATTACACCTCCTTTCTTCGGAACCTATTCGGAGGAGTTCCACAAAAAAGAGCTCGTTTGGCCAAGATATGATGAAGTTACAGCCCCCTTTGTTCCGACACTGACTCTTGAAACATCCTGTACATCTATTAATTTGGCCCAGGCGTTATTTATAGAAATATGTGTAATTCTAAAATCTTGTTAAAATGCATACCGGTATTGTGGTTGTTCTTGTTGATGATGAATGCGAACAAAATTAATACTATCAAACCATGGATGAATTTGAATATCTTTATTTCCATTTGCCATACAGCCTAAACGTGTACTAACATCAATAACTAACAATTTCTGAATTATATCGGACAATTCGGCTGAAAAATAATTTGGAAATATAAAACTTTGATTTATAATTGCTTCATAAAGTTGTATATGATCTTTTCCAGAAAATGGTGGTTGTCCAGCGGCCATTTCAAACAATAATATTCCAAAAGCTAAAAATTCAGATATAATGAGAATTGTTATCCGAAAGTGAAGCGCGACAGTTCTATGTAAATAATAAATAGTATCATATTATGCATTTAGCTCAAGACAATAAATAATTACTCACTCCACCAGTCGACAGATTTGGCATATCCTTTATGTTTGATTATTTCAGGTGGTAAATAATCTGGCGTACCACAGAGAGTATATGTCCGTCCAGAAACATGTTTTGCAAATCTAAAGTATCGTTACGCAAAACATCATTAATAAATAACTATTTCGTACAAAAACTTACCCAAAATCTGTGACCTGAAATCAATCGTTAAATTTAAAAATCTTTTTTCCAAATGAGAACTCTCAGAAGATCTTTTTGGAGAATGAGTTAGAATTGTCGAAATTCGAAGTAGAAATGTATCGGTTTTCTTTGATGAACAAATAGCTCAAAATATTCTTTTAATTGATAACCTATGTTTCCATGTAACTTCAAGATTATCCCATGGAATGAATAGTCAGTTCTCGGTCTGTCTGGTGATTTGGTGCTGCCCCTTAATCATTAAAAGTCATAATTTCGATTGAGTGCGATTTTGAAGAGGATTTCTTCGATTATTTTATCCACCAAAAAACAACTACATATAGATGTGCTGTTCAAATTATAAAAGACTAGCGTTTTTTTTTTTAAGTGTCTTTAGCAGATATTATCTTTCCTGTAGACATCAGACATACTTTTAAATAACCATTTTCTGCGATTAAAATATTTTCTGGTTTTAAATCCCGATATAAAATATCAAAATAATGCAAATATTCGAATGCTAAATAGATCTGTGCGGCATAAAATTTTGCTTGTTTCTCATTAAATTTTGTCATATGTCTTAGGTATGTAAATAAATCACCTCCTAGAATAGCGACGAAGATATTTCAATTGTGACAGGCCAATTTCTTGATTTGAGAATTTCATACCGGTAATATACTCAATTGAAAGATAAACATAGGAATTATCTTTGAAACTAAAAAAATATTTGACTGTACAAGGATGTCGTAGACTGTACAAAACTCTTCGTTCATTCAATGTATGATCAATTTGTTTGTAACGAACCTACCGTAAAACGCACCATTATCACCAACAACATTTACCCAGAGGATTTTTTTGATACCAAAAATTTCCTGTGAACGTATTACAATCGGCATTTCGAACGTTTAATACATGTGAACACATTCAATAAATAAAAAAAATTTTAACGCCTTCGCATGCGTTAAAAGTTAATGCATTTTGGAGCCTTAACTTTTTTAATTTTTCTAGTGCATTTTTACAGATTCGACATCTCCAAATGCCTTATTAACTAACGCATTTAAACTTCTTACATTTTTTCACACGTTCAAATGCATTAAGAAGTTTTTTCATCCGTTTAATGGAGTCACATGTATTCCGATTAATTTGATGTGTTCATACGCCTTAAGAAGTTAATATGTGCAAATGCGTGAAATCGTTTAATGCATTCGAATGCATTAAAACTGTTTGTCGTAAATTTAATACGTTCATAGGTTTTAACAGCGGCCTAATGAGTTCACAGGAGTTAAAAATTAATTCATGTGAACGTATTAATGCTTTTTCGGACTTTTAATTCGTTTGAACACATTAAATGAATTAAAAAAACTTTTAACGACTTTGCATGCCTTAAAAATTAATGCATTTAGGAGCCTTAACTTTTTTAATTTTTACTAATGTCTTAAAAGTTATAGCTTTTACGACATTAAGACGGAGTTAAATTTTTTTATCGTTATTGAACAAATCGAAAGAAAGTTGTACGTGATCTTAGATTTCTACTTTTCCAACAAATGTTTTGAAGTTTTCAAAGTGTGTCATCATCTCATTTAAACGTGTGGAAACGTTTAGTTTTTTACTCAATAAATCTCGTTTCTTATTCAAGATACTAGCTTCTTGGA